GATCCATACGCATTGTCACATGCACGACTTGCAAGAAGTGACACGACTTTGAAGCATTCTTGGTGACTTGAGACTTTACTTTGCACTTGGTAGTAATGATGTGATACCTTTTCTCAGTAAACCCCCCCCCCCCCCCCCCTTCCCTCTCAAATGTCGGCGTCTTTAATTTTCTCACTTCATGATTCACGTGACTTTCGTCCCCCCCCCCCCCCCCCCCCCCCCGACAGTATAATGATTGTTGCAACTTAAATTTACTGTTTTCTGAGCAGTCACCAGCTAATGTTTTAAAAATTGTTTTAGATGTTGTCCCCTTTGATATGTTCTATGCAGCAGTAGTGATTTAACGTTGAGTTAAATATTGTAAATTTAGTATTAGTACTAATTTCTTTTGACTTTGTGGTACAATGAGAGGTTTTCTTGGCACTGTGTTTCTAAATCCGTATCTCGATCCCCATATCTTCGTCTACTTTGTTACCTTAAATGTAAATGTATCACTACATTGTGAATACAAAACACTAGGAGAAAACAGCACCAAGAAGGCATGTTTAATCATTTTTATTCAAAACATCAACAAAATCATGAAAAAAGGATCACACAATATAGTGAAGCAAACATATACACGATAACAAAGATAATCCCGAACTACTCTTACCAAAACATTATCCTAGTTAGTCAACTAAACTTCAGAAAAAGATTCTAGTCAGAGGTGTAGTCATGCCACTGCAATGCCTGGATACTTTTTATATGTAACTAATGTGCCTAACTCATAAAATGACAGTACAATGAATTTTTTTAAACTGCATTATTTAACATTAACTTGTTTCTGAAAAACCTAATGGCAATAATAATAATTAACAATAAACACAGTGTGGGTCACAAAAGCTAGTTGCTCCTCTTGGACCTGAAAGTTGTGCCTTTACATCAGCATCAAGTCAGATTCCCCACCCACTGCCTCAAAACATGACCTTGGCTCACACGTCAATCCAGAATAGAATGGATATCAAATAAAGTCTTTGGAAGGGAAAGCAGCTGACGTGACGCTGACTAATCACCCACTCAGTGCAGATTAGGCGACACAATATAGGTTTAGCACTGTATAACCAATTTGCCTAAGGGCGTGAAAAAGTTCCTTTACTTTACTTTTGCATAACACCAATAATATCACACAGTGTAACTTGCCATATTTACAATCACTATTTAATATCACTGTGATGAAGTTTGTAAAGGAACTATTTATATTTCAAAGTGTGGGCTGCATAAAAAGAATAGACTAAAATAAATACTTCAATGCTGTACTGCCAGCTATTATTTATTAAACTATTATATCATCATCATTTTTGTGCCATTAGATGTCACGTAGGGCTTGCATTCAATTTCTCTAATCCATTATACTGTATGCAACTTTCTCAATTTCTTACATGGAGTTTATCTCAGCAATTTTTTATCCTCTCTTAATAAATCTAGAAAATTAGGAACTCTTCTTTCTCGAGGCAGATTTTGATCCGTACACAATGAATGAGCTACTATTTGCAGATGACCAGTCCCCTAGTGTGGGTCCTGGGGCCCCATTGTGGGGAAAACAAGAATAGACCCACTGCCTCCCCAAAAGCATGTCGTAAAAGTCGACTAATTGGGAAGCTTCCTTTGAAGTCGGAGTGCATCAGCTGGAGAGGCAAGTAACCAACAGTCTGTATTCAAGAGAATGAGATCTGTAAAACTGATGCACACGCAACACTCAGGTTCTGGAGCAGGACTGCAGTTCAGTAGTGGACGAGCAACCAGAACCTTCTCCCAGAGTTTACAGCTGGTGAACCCGAAGAAGAAGAAGAAGAAGATGACCAGTACCTGTTCTAGAATGAGGGGAGTAGACTCCAAGATGATCTGAACAGGCTAAGCTCAACATGCACAAGATTCAACATGAAAATATATACTACTAAAACAGAAGTAATGCAGGTCAGTAGAATTACTGGTCTGCTACATAGAGGGTTGAATGGTACTAATCTGAAGCAGGTTAAACAATTTAGATATTTTGGAAGTATATTCTCAGAGTATGGAAGAATCGATTGGTCAAGAGAAACAAAATGCCAACGAGCCAGTGAACTTATATACCTCCTGAAACCATTATTACAACATTCAAACAGAAGTATGAACACCAAGTATCAGATTATAAACAAAATATTCATACCAACACTGTGCTACCAGTGCCAAACTTGGACATTATCAAAGGCTAACCTATGTAAAATAAACACTTGTGAAATCAGATGCCCAAGAAAACCCAGCAACATAACTATCCGAAACAAAGTTAAAAATTGATATTATCAGACTATAGGAACAACACCATGCAGCACATTCATTGAGAAACAAAAGATCAAATGGTTTGGTCATCTAGTAAAAATAAATCCAGAACAGCTACCGATGTAGGCACTACATATTAACATCTCTGAAGTAAAAGCAACAGATCGCCTACATCGACATGGAATGACACTAGCCATTGCTGCTTATCAAGTAATGGATCACAAACTGTTTCTCCCTATGTCGCTTAATGGCAGAAGTGGAAACTGATGATGATTACAGATGGAAAGTAAGAGGGTTCTTCAACCCACCTAAATACAGTGTCCTTATATATGTAAAGTCCTGAAACGTCACACAACAAGCAATCACTTTGCCTAATTGTTATATTAAATGTTCAGCAAACATACATCTTCTTCTATTTGCTCTCTATGACAGAGGTTTTCAGATGACAAGCTACAGGCCTCTATGAAGTCTTTGGTGTGATGCATGTCTTCCACTTTTCTATACAGCTTGTTTTCTTTTAAAATGCCATTCGGCCAACCTCGGATCTTACTACTGCATGTAGACAGAATGACTGCAGCAAATGTTTAGCAAAGAGTAAAGAGTCTGTTGAGTTCAATACGCAGAGGTTTCTGGGTCTTCAGGATTGTGACATGAAAACAACCTAAATTAACCGAAGACGTAGTTTGAAATTATTTATATGTGCAAACATCTACTGAATGCTCAAAATACAAACTGCATATAATCACTTGTAACCATATTAATATTTAAGATAATTTAACTCATTCAGGCGACTTAGAAGTAGAGCCGAGCACTTAAGGGTTACCCCTTGTGACATGATGTTGATCCATCGTCTAAACCTAACTCATTCAGTCGCAAGCAGATGTTACTTCAACTCCTTATTTCAAATTAACCTGAGCCTGAAAGCAATAAATGCTTATGACTGAAAGTGTTGAACAGAGACACAAGCAGACTAAAGTGGTTAAACTATTACTAATAAGTCTGATAAATTGGGGTAACATAAACATTTGTCAGTAACAGAAGACAAGAACCATCATACTATTTTTCTAAATAAACATGACATAACTGGTACTGAAGGAGTTAATAAATATAGAGTTATTTATTCAATAAAATCTGCGCTACACTGATATTTCCTTGATATTTTTTATAACAAATGTTACTTTCCTTCTTCTTACCATAACAAAACAAGGTGAAGTATCGATATATGTCATTGTTGTTACAGCTAGGCTGTGGTGTAGGCTCCAGGGCCCTACTGGGGAGGGGGAAGAGAATAGATCATTGCCCCCTAGCATGTTATAAAGGCCAACTAATTAAAGTTTTGTTGAAAATTAAAAGTTTTGTGCTAATAGGCACGGATATTGCAGCTTAGCTGAAAACAACAACATAATTAAGTTAATCCCCATTTGTGGGTGAAAGGCAGAGGAAGAAGAAATGTGCAGCTGGGGATTGCAATTATAAAAATATAAGACTAATAACAATGCACATAAGTAAAAAAAAAAACTGCAATAATGTAAAAATCTGTTTGTCATAATGACAGATAATTGGCCTAATGAAAAAAAAAAAAAAATCAGGAAGCCGTTTTTCTGACATTTACAAGTTTTTGATGACATGAAGTCTTTTAGCAGTGGCCACTATGCCTAAAAAAACAGCTCTGGTACTGGCCGTAGCTGCAAACTGCAGATATAGTGAGTATGACTACATATACCTTCTGCACACACAAAAAAAGGAGTTAAGATGATATAACGGGAACAAAAATCGTTTTTTTAAAACAATTGTGACGTCACTGTTACTTTATTATAATCTCATATGATGTCATTTTGCTCCATAAGGCCAAGTTAACAAAACCATTCTTATCCTTGTCAAGGGGAAGCAGTTAATTCCTTGCTCCATTTGTATTTAGCGATTAATTCCCTTACTTAAAAAAAAATGTTTTTGCACGAATTAATAATGATAATTAATATGAAGCATTTTAGTAACTTGATAGCCGGAATGTAGCTGTGGACTTGCTTATCTTCTCAGTGATCTATGGCTTTGGTCCCGTGAATGCTTTCTTCTCTTCTTCTAGTTTCTTAAGGTAGAGTTTCAGAGAATTATAAGGATGATTTTCTTTTTAACACAATTTTAAAAAGGGTCATTTTTTTAAATTATTCACAGGTTGAAAGGGTTAACAATGTAGAAACTTAATATAAAATGGCAACAGCAAAGACAAAGTTGGGAAAAAGCATACAAGAACAAATTAAAAGAAAGAATATTGCAGCTAAATAGTTTTGCCATCCATAATGTCAACCCTGTCTTGTGACTGTTTGCTGGCCAGGTTCGCTGGCCGGGTTCACTTTCCATTTTCTAGACTGATTGATTTTATTTCTCTACTTCAACAGTACAACCCATTTAATTTCCTATCCTTAAAAACAAACCAAAACATTTTTTTCTCTTAATATTTAGACAAGTGATGTGCAGTATTTTATTCCTCAAGCTCCTGTGAGATAAACTTAAAAAAAATCAATTGCCCTATTTTCATGAAAAGGTATTAACATTTGTTTCTGCTGCATCAAGAATGCTACTATAAATTCTTTGCTACTGTAAAATGTATTCAATAGTCCAGGTAAACTCTCAGGCTATATTACTTCTGGAAGTGTTGTGGGCAGTCTCAAAATATAAACCAGACAGAAACACAATAATGTTTCATTTCATTTGTTCTGTATCTTGCATAGCTGCTTCTTTGGGCAGTAGCAACAAGCCCTGCAAATAAAACGTGTAAATAGTTCTAAATTATATTATATAATACCAAATAATATACAACCTATCTAAATATAAAAGCGACTACACACTGGCACTTTATTTTGTGAATTTAACCTCTTCATCTGTTTACAGTCCTACTCTTATTTTCAACAAATGCATTAGTATTTTATTTATTGTTTACAGAAGCACACAAGAAAAAGTAAATAATAAAGTTGCATTTTACATATATATATATATATATATATATATATATATATATATATATATACACACACACACTGTCGTGGAATGATAAGCCATTACACATCAGTCCGTAAGACTGGTAACTTGACCTACCTGTAAGCGGCACAAAATTCAAACTTGGACTCGTCCAGGAAGAGATATATAGTCCCTTATATCGATATATGCCTTTATCGGACAAAATTATTATGTCTACATTTTCTGGTTGCTTTGACTTAACTCCATTTTAAAATGTATATCCATTGGATAAATATTAGAGGAGTTATTTGAGGTTTCTTAGAAACCGATTTACTCCTTGCCCATGTATACTAGGAACTCCTTTTTACTAACGCCTGAAGTGCGTAAATTGCGCCATTCTTTTTGCCGGCTCCCTAGCGTTCAGATGTGTGCATTGACGCCAGAAAATTTCACTTTAATAAGGCGATCTGTAATGTCTAGGACTTTTCCTATGCTTGGGTAAGTTAATTATAGTTTACGAGTACCTAAATCTATGTCTGTTAAAGTGGTCACTGCTGTAGAGAGATCAGTATCGGCTGTGGGATCACACATAGTTTGACCGTTCTTGATCGCTAGAGAAGCGGATTCGAACTTAGACCTTCCTCTGTACAGACTAAATAGCCTATGCCCTAAATAACCCACCCATACTGGTAAACCTAATAACCTTACAAGTGTGTACTATTTAAACTAACAACAGAAGTTTGTACATACAAATGGGGACAGAATTAGGTCAGGACTTGGTCAGCCAGTGTGTGAGTGTGTTTGACCCAGATCAATGAATGGTAGGACTGACTTGGGAGTCCTAAGGAATAAAGGTACTGACAGTAAATATTGGTGTCTGTGTGCAGAGGGGAGGGGAGAGAGAGATTGATATATGTGTTAGAGTGTCGATCTATCTCCATTATATATCTGACTTTCCATATCTTGCACTAAACAGACAGATGAATGATAGGAGACTTGTGTCTCCTGGTCTTGAGAGGCATTCTGAGGAATGAAACAGGGGAGCAAGGGTGGAGTAAGCAGATGTGGGATATGACTGATGCTTGTTCTGTCTTTCCTGTCAAGATGTTACCCTCTTGGTGATGACTAATTCTGAGTTATTTCTTGGCAGGATGAATCCTTTGTGAGGAGCTGGCAGAAGATTCACAGTCCAACCAACACCCACCAACCATAAACCATAACCCATCAATCAATTAACCCATCACCCAACTACCAATTGGGAAGACTGTCCTCCTCAAGATGGGGTACAATATAACCCAAACATCATCCAGTGCCAGAGCATGTGTGTAGCTCAGGGACAGTGCTGTGAGTTACTCGTGGGAGAAGGTGCGGTGTGCCTATCCAGTTGCTGTGTGCCTATCCAGTTGCTGTGTGCCTATCAAGGTGCTGTGTGCCTATCCAGTTGCTGCGTCCTCTATGGTGAGGTACTCTTCCATTACCTGATCCAGTTGAGCAGAATTACCAGGGTCAAAGACAGTCGATTCACCCGGAGCTGAGTGAGGCATCAACAGTGGAACTAGGATAAGTCCAGTTTATGTCTCGATTATGCTATATTCCACACAGCTCCACTGGATTCCAAGGATGAATACATGCTTCCTCCAGGACTTTCTGACTGTTTAACTTTGGTTGATTATAGTCATTGTATTCTGGAATCCAGCTGTTGTGGTTTGACATCTACTTCACTATTTTCTATTTTGTACATGTTGTAATGATTACATGCATTCATTTTCATGGCTGACTTAGGTTTCTCTATTTCACCTTTTTAAATGTGTAGCATTTGTGTGTGTATGAATCTTAACTATATGTGTTAACATGGTTATGATAATGACTTATCATAACCTGGGGGCTTTCTTTAGTAAGTAGTGGGGGTGTCCAGCCAAGTGTGCCTAGGAATATTGTATTCATATACTGATATATTTTATAGTGCCAATACTTGAGTTGCCCTACTCCAGAAATAAGTTGAGCGTATATTGGCCACGGGGAATCCCTTAGAAAAATACGAGCCAAACGACTCAACATAATTATTTCTGAGTGCTGCTGGTTCTGAAGGAGAAATCCTTACATCAGGCACGTGACAGGAGTGATATGTGACACACACACACAAATATACACATATAAACACCCATATATGGGCACATGCACAAACACACAAACATATATTTAGTGTAACAATCCCTAAAGAAGCAAAGTGGAACTGGTGACTGGTGAAATTTAATGTCAAAGAACAATTCTTAGAATACCATAGACTAAGTAAGAAGAGGAAAAGTAGTAACAACTACACATACTGAATATCAAATATATTATACATTATAAACAGCATTTTGGATTGGAAACTGACATATTTCAGACATATTAAACACTGCTGTGGTTTAGAAAGAACAGCAATAGAAGGCACAATTTCTGGAAGTAGAGAGGCACGGGCTGATCAGCATAAAGGTGAAGCTCTGGATATACCTTTGCCTTAAGAATACATAGGAAATTGGCTAAAGTCATGATCCTGTTGACGATCCATTTCCTTCAATGTTCAGATCAAGAGTGTCACAGTACAAGCAAATATTCTGATATATATATATATATATATATATATATATATATATATATATATATATATATATATATATATATATATATATATATATATATATCGAGCAAAGTATTCAACCAAGACTACAAGCAAATGTTCTATTATATAGTAAAGAGAAAATTATTCCATTACCAACCAAGGGAAGCCATGGTAGCATAGCGGCTAGAAGCTTGCCCGATGATGGTCAAGGGTTCAAATCCTCATCATTGTCCTGTCGGCCCATTGTATGTCACATACGGCTCTCAGATAATTCCTATATTCTATTCTATCCTGTGAAATCCTTTTGGATGGCATTCAGTCCAGCACCTTTGGTCTCTCTCATCAACCTTTGTTTTAGGGTTTCTTTTGGATGGCCCTGCTTCCTCAATCCTTTTATTCCCTATTTTAGTACAAGCTTGGTGATTCTCTGCTATGATAAGCTATCCTTGAAGTCATCATAGGGGCTGATTTTTTAAATTTTTTTGGGAGCCACTTTAGCATAGATGTTTGCCTGCCAGCACAGAGGTCTTAGGTTCAAATCTACAACAAAGCAATTTTATTTAAAAACTGACCTTGGCTATCAGGTCAATCCACTCTTAAATGGGTACTAGATAATGTCCTGGGAAATAAAGGTGGCTGGTATGAGGCTGAGCACATCAATCATCAACTGTCAATCAGTCTATAAAAATAAAGATCTAGCAGTATGTATGCCTGAGCAATTCAGTCATCTCCTTATGAGATGCAATTTTTTCATTATTTGAAGCCCTACTCTGGCTCTTGCCAGGGGCCACAATATAGCCCGGCCATAAATATGGTCTAATGGATGAACGCGGTTTCTGGGGCCTCTCCACGGTGATCCTCATCCACATGGTGGCACTTTGTGTCATTGGGTGTTTATCGCTTGTGTGATGTCCTAGTGGGGTAAAAATCTACTACTACTACTACTTCTACTACTACTACTACTACTACTACTATGTATGCCCAACAGGTTAAAGGTGTGAAAAGTGTCCTTCACACAAATGAAGACAACATTCTGGATATAGCAGGACGCTGCATGAAGACAACATTCTGGATATAGCAGGACGCTGCATGATGACAACATTCTGGATATAGCAGGACGCTGCATGAAGACAACATTCTGGATATAGCAGGACGCTGCATGATGACAACCGCAGCTATCAACAGTTAGAAGGCAAAGAAGGTGGTGCTATATGTGGCATGCAATGAGAACAAGCAGGCGAATCACCAAACAGGCAGTAAAATGGGAAACAGATTGGTTGAGGATGTCACAGAAACCTTAAAAATAATGTTGCTGAGAGAAGCCAAAAGTGCTGAACAGGATTCTAATGATATGGAAAGGACTGCACATGTCAGAATGGAATGGAGGACCACACTGTGAGTCCAATCTGACGTATAATGACATGACATGATGATAATTATTATATACAATGGAAACATAAGCATATGACTTAGATCCTAAAGTACCACATTTAATTTAACAATAACGACCCAGATAACAAGTAACAACTTTAGGATCTAAAAGTACACTAAGAACAACATAACACAGAAGCAAGAAAGAAGGAATTATCTTATAATATATACATACCATGTTGGTTTATGTCTTAGTACAAATGGGGCGATGTTATGACCTATAAGTAAATAAACAAGTAGTGAAAGTATGTGAAAAAAAAAAATAGTTAAGCATGTAAAATATTTTACCTGAATCTACAAATATCAGTCATGAATCACTGACAGAAAAACATCAGAGCTTTTGAACTGAAATGTTACAGAAAACTCTTGGAATATAATTTTTCTTCTTCTTAAAGTCCATGCTGTGTGGTGTTGGTAGTCATGTTTATCCACAACCTTCTGTCTCGTGTACTTTGAATCAACTCTGACACAGATGATTCTATATGCCCTGAAGTCACCTTGTCCAGTATCTTTTCTCTGGGTCTCTCTCTGCCTATCCTCCTCTCTGCCTTTCTTACTGTCACGGTGTACTCTAGTTTTGTCCTTCGCATTACATGATCAAAGAATGTAGGTTGTCTCTTTCTGATGTGGGCAATCAGTTCTCTTCGTGAGTCAGTTTCTTTCAAGACATCCTTATCTCTCTTTTTATCTGTCAAAGGTATTCTCATCAATTGTCTATAAAACCACATCTTCGCAGCTTCCAAATAATTTGTCACTAATATACCAACTGTCCATTTTTCACTTCCGTATATCAAGATAGGATTTATATAGCTTTTAGGAATTCTCTTTCTTGTTTGACAAACACAGAATATCATGGACCAAGAAAAAGACAAACACTGACAACCTACATGATCTGAACATGATGGAGAAATGGCATACTGTCCCGAAAGCTGACGTATTTTGGGCATGCTAAATGCCATGGTCGCCTAGAAAAAAATGGTAACTGGGGGTATATTTTCCAGAAAATGAGGCGAAGGTGGATACAGGACACTGAAGATGCAGTAGATATGAAGCACACAGGACTGTAGAATAAATCTAGAAACAGACAGACTTTTGCGCAAACTGAAGAGAATGATGTTCTGTAAACAGCTTTTTGACTGACTGATGTTGATAGAAAACAATTAGCACTAGGTTATTTACTTTGAACTTTTTCTATACCTCGTAAACCAAAAATAAATTGTCTTTGCCTTTTTTGTCAGCAACAAGGTAGTGAAATTGTTCTCCATGGAGTCTTCAAAGCTGACAGCTAGGGGTGTCTAATGATAACACAGGTCTCCCAGATCTCTTTCGAAGTGAGACAGAATACTTTCTCTTTTCTGACAAGGGCAAAAAACCAGCACCTCATATGCCAGGTTTGCATAGAAAAAGAAAAACAATAACAACAAACAACCCTATGACCGCTGAAAATGTCATTAATTTAGCTATATGACTGTGATAAGCTACTTTTTATGCATATCAGTTACGATATATGTGACTAGATCTTATTTTTTTTAAGTCAAGATTATTGTAAAGAAATCTAGCAATATATTTGTTTGATACAAAGTATATATAATTGGCTCCTGTGAAAGTTAAACATGAATTCGTTCTCAATAGTTTCCCACATGAGCACCTGCTATACACAAATTTTGGTATTGAAAGAGTTAACACACATGATACTATAACACAGGAACTCAGCCTGTCACCTTTAACTCACACTGAATAATACAAAAAAATGGAAGTAACTCTGTTAATGTATGCCTTTATGGCATAGCAGAGATGTAGTCCACATTTTCAGTGACTACCAGGAAATAAATAATTGTTCTGTCAGACTACACTGGCCTCTTATGTGGTGTCAGATTTTTATGATCCAGTTAGACTGGACTATGTTCTCACAGCCATATTGTCTGGAACAATACTGAACTCTGTCTATACTAGAAACTGAACCTTGAACAACTGTTGTGGTACTTTAGTAGGCTTTCCACAATGCTACCAAACTGGAAATAAAAAACACACAGACACTAGCTGTCAAATGTAACTACCTACACCATCAGGGCACTTGCGAACTACCAGTGTTTTTCTGTTTACACAGTAGGGGATGCCAGCAGAAGCTTGTGTACATTTGTATACTGCAGCCTCTACGCTACCAGGACTCCCCGACAGGATTAGTATTTACAGTTCAAATTCTGACCACTCGAGATTTCTTCATATTTTATCCACTCATGCCATAGAAAAATCAACGACTATAATGAAACAGAAAACAGTAATTATGTGAGAAAGGGTACTACCTGTGTGACAACACTGTATGCATGACTTGCAGATCCCTGTGAAATTAGAGACAAACAGGTCATTAATGCATTCTGCAGCTGTTGTTTTAAAAAGCTGATGATAAAGAAACAACTATGCTCATATTGTTTCTTTTCATTATCATGTGGCTTACCACCTGGCAGGAACTATCATGCTTCTCTAGTTCCTGTTCTCTAGCAAGAAGTATTAAGGATTCATTAACCATATCTTAAGGTGTACTGGGTATATGTGACTTAATCAACACTTTTATCACTACATTAAAGAATGTGATCAAAATCCCAATGATTGCCTTTACTTTCTACAACTTTTAGGATACCAATTTAGATCTTAGAGTTTAGGTCAAGAGAAAAAAATCTGCTTCAACAGTGTTTCAAACTATCAGGTCGGTACCCGAGTCTGCAATTCTAAGTACATTTCAATGATGAATCAAATTTGGCAAACAAGCAGACCTAAAATTTCTGAGCAGAATGTTGAGAACATAAAAAGCAAGAGCTGAAATAAAACAACTGATTGGGTAATCTGTTCACTATTATAGATTTAATATTTGTTTACAAATTCTGACTATGTGTCAAAACTATTATGATCTTATTAAACTAAATGTTCCTTATTGAGGGTTCTCAAGAATAGACTAAATGACTATATTTTCCTTCTGGAACATTATCTGAAAGTCTGAGCAATATGAATAACTCTATTCTGGATGTCAGTCTCAGATGTTCTGTTCAACCTATCCCTAAGAAGTTATAGTTAGTTTAGGACATACGTAACAGCTACACCATGCTACCTGGGCGTGTCCTTCTGTCCTGGGTTCTAAATAAGTGTTTATCAGCTTAACAAACTTTTACTAGGTGAACAAGACGTCTCATTAACACTTTCTCCCTGCGACTAAAACAAAAAATTTAATGAATCTGCAGGAATTTCTGGGGACAAAATGCCTTTAAAAAAATAAAACTATTTTACAAACTAATAAACTGTAACGATTTTTTTTTATTTATCCCTCTTTATTGTGTGTGAAAATATATAAAGATACATAAAGGGAGTAATCAATAAACAAGCATATAGTGAAGCATAAGGACTTCATTGCCCAGGTGACTCATGTTTTACCCCGTGACCTCTATCAATTGTGCCGACATAAAAAAAAATTAATTTAATTTAAAAAAAAATTGCTTTAAATGCTATATTTAGTTAATATATTCACATCCTCCTGGCCTTCTAAGCACTATGCAAGTGCACACAGAACAAATGGAATTTAACAACAATTTTTGATAACACTTTAGAGAGGCTGTGTCACAACAGGGAACACCTAGCTTTAGCCTTTTTGGGGCGACATTGTTAATCAACAGAGATCGGGCATGATCAGTATGTCAGTAATTTTTTATTTGTGGAGACTAGAGCACCAGTGGATTTGTCTGCAGTGCTGTGATGACAGTCCTCACTAATCACTAATTTAATAAATCTATACTATAAGAGTGACTACTGGAGAAGACGTTTTTCTAGTATAGTCTGGAAAAATATTATAATTTGCTGTATCTCGTTTGTGCATTGCTACAGAGTTACACCAACACAGAATAAAGCACACACAAAAGAACTCTTTTCTACTGAAATACAAAAAGTCTCAGGTTACACTATACATCACATCACTTGAAATTCAAGATCAGTCACGTGAAATATTACCATGGAAGTTTCAGTTTGTGACACTGTATTTAAATTTACAATGGGGAAACTTTTTAAATAGCATAAGTTTAAATGGTTTAAGTGACACAGAATTAACTTCTCTGCACCAGGTTTGACCCTTCTCTGCAGAGCCGCTGGCCATTTGACATGAGTGACACAAAAAGCACGAACTCTGTAGCTCCAGTGACAATACCCAAAAATGTAACCAAAAAATGCATTCATGAAAACATCAATTCAGTCCTAAAATAAATCATCACATGACCTGTTGAGTGTGACACAAGCATGTCACAAGTATGATCACACACTCTTTAAAAAATAATATAAATACAAATATATAAACAAAAACAACACAGAAACATTATCTCCCATCTAAGGAAAGGCATATAACTTACATTTAACATTACATTTGTAGCACAAAAAATAATCTGTAGGCTGTGATCCATTCTCGTGAAATGTGTTGGCAAAACAGCGCTGTGGCAAATCACTTTCAGCTTTGAAGACTCCCTGCAGAACAATTTCACTTCCTGGTTGCTAAGAGAAAAAAAATGTATGTTATATAAGCACACACCTGACTGAAATTAATGCATCAGCGATCGGGTCACCCAATGGCTGGCTGGCAGACAACTTTGGCGCTGGTCAGAACAGTATTCGGGTATGTCTCTTTTTATCATGTAAACACTGCAAGAGTTCTTTTCAGAGCTACTTGGTGGCAAGCAATGCTAAGCCATTTTATATGGTGCAAAAAAAAAAAACCTAGTCACAATTATAACCTAAAGCTACCCCTTCAGAGATGCTGGCCGAACAGGACTTTTTGGAGGGGGGGGGGGGGGAGGGAGGGGCAAAGCAACAGAAAAATAAAATTATTGAAGAAGATAAGAACATGTAATGCAGGCGTCATCAACCTATGGCTTACCTGCCAAGTGTGGAACAAGGAATTATTTTCATGCTGAGTGAATTGTAGTACAGCATAAATCTAACAACAATCAAATTAAATAGAAGCATATAATTCTATTGAAGATAAAATTATATTATTTAAAAAATTCAATAGAAAAAGTGTAAGTAAACGACACTTAATAAGCCAGTACTACATCAGACATATGATGCTAGATTATTTTTAATGACCTATCGTTACTGGATGGGTGATATGGTCAACATCACTCCAGCTGCCTTTACTTCCCAGGATATTGCCTGGTAACCAATTCAGGCTGGGTCAACCTGTATGTCAAGGTCAGTTTTGAAAACTGACTTGATGTGGATATGAAAACAAGACCTACGGGCCAGTAGGCAAACATCAAGTCACCACATTATTACTTCTTCAATTTCAATAACTACTGCCTAACATACTTACTGCCCCTACCCTCCCCCAATGAACATATAGTATTGAATGTTGAATTAAGAATCAACATCATAGCACTTGGGATACTCCCATAAGAGCTCCATCCCCATCTTCAGCAGCAAACGAAGACTTCCAATTCTGATGGTATCAGTAACTGTAATGTCATATAGTAAAAGGTAAATAATTAGGATTTTGCAGGAATCGAATGTGTTGGGCTAAAAGATCAAGTTTAGCAGCACAGGTTTTACACAATGTAACATGCCAGAATGACTAAATATTCTTTTGTGAATTAAGGGGTCAGTTAATTTGTTAATAGGAATTCAGCGACTGTAATTACACATTTTTCAGAATGGGCTACAATTTCCTGGGAATTTTAAGTTCAGGAGATTTTAAAATACAAATTGTGTGGAATATCATTATCAACATTGTGTTGCCAAGGCCAAACATGGACTTATAAGAGCAAAAACAAAACAGCAAAATCAAAACAACAGAAATGAAATTTCTACCATGAATCCTAAAAGTAACTAGAAGAGACAGTTTCAGATATGGCGATATCAGGAAAGAAGTTTGAACGGAACCAGCATTAAACTACATCAAAAGATAACAGATCAAATGGTTTGGACATGTGTCGAGACTTCCACCAAACAGTGCACCCCAGAGAGCCCTGCCACTGAGCCATAACGAAAGCAGATCCAGAAGTCAAAGACACATGCAATGGATAGATGGAATAGCTGAAGCTGTAAATACCTGCATCTATGTAGCACATACCGAGGCTCACACCTAATGCCTCTTCAAAACCTGAGGCTAAAAGGCAGAAGAGGACTAGAAAAGAAGAGTTCTGGGTTTGAAAGTGTTAAATCCAGCCGTTCTGGTCATTTCTTTCACTAAGCACCTCAATTCTTTAGCAGATAACCATGCAAACGTCTGTAATACATACCATATGATGCTGAAAAATAGGTCTTGTATTCCAAGTCAGTTGATGTACATCAGGCAGGGTGTCTATGTTGCTACTGACCTCAGCGATATCATATGTTCCAGTTTTGGACAGAGGACTAAAATAGTGACAATAAATTCACACTTAAACAACACTAATCTGCTTTCAATTAGTTATTAGAAACAGGCAGCAATAGAAATTACTGAACTGAAAAACTAAACAACCTGCCATTACTTTATACCACTTTTGCAGTGTAGGCTCCCGGGCGGGTGGGAAAGGGGGAGGGGGGGGGGTTGGGTCTGAGGGCTGCAAAGCTTGTGCAATTGTCATGGACATTGCAGGTCATTTCATCTTTGCCCCTGACATTAAAAAACCGTTAACTTTAATGAGGATTCAAACCTGGAAAAAGAGACTAGCACTCTCACTTGTTAAGTTAGCCACTCCTCTCAGAAATCACTGAACAATTCAGTCAAAGTAGCAGAAATTGAATGTCTAAAGCTACCATGGAGATGTGAAATGGCATCAGCATTATCTTATGCATTATCAAGTGTTGTCAACTGGTAGTGGCAATGAAGCTTTTCCAGTTTTACTTTCACAGTTCTTTACTACAGTGTATCAGCTTATGTGTTGAAAGACGTTCTCTTCATGATGTATGATTGTTGGAATCTTCTTTAATTGATTTTTTTTCAAATGGCTTCCCTCCCCCTTTCAAAAGACAAAAATTACCTTATCCAGTTTTGCAGTATGTTCAGATCCTTCCCTGGCCAGAACATGTTTACTGTTTCCTTGATAAGTTGTGAAATATTTAGTCTTTCACAAATACCAGATCATGGCTTTACAAGGTGAAGTAACGATACCAGATCATGGCTTTAAAAGGTGAAAGGACTAGTTCTTGTCAAGTTAAATTCCTTCTCCACTCATATCTAAGTCATATATCTACGAGGGTAAGTCAATAAGTAAGTCACAAATGGTTGTTTAAAAAAAAAAAAAAAAAAAAAAACTAAAGATGGTAAAAATTTGAATACGTTTATTTTTACACATAGACTATCCCTTTATTTTTCAAAATAATGTCCACCAACATTGATGCACTTGTCCCAACGTTTTATTAGTCCTCCCTAACCTGTAGCATAGAACTGCGTGCTCTGTTTTCTAAACCACTTTTCACTTCACATTCAACGTCATTCGTGAAATATCTCCCACCAAGTTGGGTTTTCAATGAACCAAAAACCATGTGAGCACCCTATTGCAGCTGCTACAAAGTCAACCATTACTTGCCTGTTACTTCTATGCATCTCCTGCACCTGCTGCAAGGATGCGTCTATTGCAATCTCAACAGGATGACCAGATCAGACTTCATCAACAATCGTAGAGCGCCCTTGGGAAAAAATTCTTTGCTCAGCTATGCACTGCTTTACGGTATAAACATTTGTCGGGATAAACAGAAAGCATTTCATTTTGAATAGCCTTTGCAGGCAGCCTTTTTGCCTTAACAAAAAAAAAAAAAAAAACCCACAATGGCCTGTTGTTTGAAAGTATACTCTGTAAGTACAGTCAAAATTTTGTTTGTGTGCTGAGCATGCAACACCTAGCGTCACCTAACGAAGGAGACACAAAGTTTGATGTTGTTGTCACTTAATGACACCTTGAGAAACCACCAACTACCTCTTCCTGCCATCCCATAATCATCTGTGACTTACTTATTGACTTGCCTCATTTTATATAACTTTTGTTTCAGATTTTGTACCAAGAAAACAAACACCAAAATTCTATATGTTCAGAGCACTGATAAGAAATGGCTAATAAAACATCATGTCCCAAAAGATGAGGTATTTTTGAATGGCCTAGAGAGAACCGTGATGGAGGGTAGTCCCGGAAAATGAGGCAAAGGCAGACCTCTGCAAAGTGGATGCAAGACAAATAAGATGCAATGGCTATGGAAGCATAATTTATCACATATGATTATAATTTAATTTATTTTTCTATTTTGCATTGTTGATGGATCCAAAGATTTGTGGTAAGACTATTCAAAAATTTGTAACAAGGCTTTATCTCTTTTAGTTGTGCTCCAAGTTTCAGAGCCATTTAATAAAAAATCTTAAAAATTACCTTCTATTAAATTTCTTTAAAAATTTGTTATATATATCCTCAGAATTTTCTGAAACTACCCCAAGAAATTAGAAGAAGCAGAGAAAATCTGGCGTCTTGGTCAGTTTAAAAAAAAAAAAACAATATCCAGGGTGTGGAACTCCTAGACCACCAAGAGGACAATCAGATTGTGATGACATAGCAGAATTAAAAAAACACACACACACAAATGGTAAAAATAGCCTAGTGACTAAATGTCTAATTCAGAAAGGATTAAAATCCCTTTAAGGGGAAGTTATCACTAAATATAAATGGAGAAAAGAAATAACTGCTTTCCTTCCCTTTGACCATATAAAAGTATTTTTTAGTCACTTTGCCACAGGGAGCATTGTGAATTATAGGAAATTTCTAATAAAATTATGTGCCATCCCAGTGAATCTATAATGTTTTAAACTTGGTTTTATTCACACCAAATAATAAGATTTAAAAAAATCTGGGGGTAATTATAATCACAACCACCATTTCCACTTCTCAATACATTTCCTAGACCCAATTTAGATCTGTAAATTTAAGCCATTTTTTTTTAAAAACATCATTTCTTAAGCAGTGAAATACACTTTCGTCCTTTTCAGGACGAAATTTTTTGTTTTTTGAAGCCCCACCCTGGCTTTTGCCAGGGGCCGCAATATAGACAGGCCATAAATATGGCCAATTGTCTGAACGCGGTTTCTGGGACCTCTTCACGGCGATCCTCATCCGCATGGTGGCACTTTGTGTCATCGGGTGTTTATCGCTTGTGTGATGTCCTGGTGGGGTAGAAAATCAGTCAGTTCTTAAGCAGTAATCAAACCATGTTGATTAAAAAAACAAGCATGCTATAAATAAAAGCAACATACCCAAAAAGAAGTTTCGTTCCACCTTCATCAGTCCATGCGACTATCTTATCAGTTTTGGCTAGCATCGCATTTTCTACTATAGGTTTCAATACATCCAAGCTTGTCAACATAAAAATAGAAGACAAACCAAAAGTCATTTCAGGTTATACCTTGAAAAAATATGTTTTGTTATGTACATTATTCAAATGAACAATGATTGCTATAAACCTGATAAATTTGAGAAATGAACAACACTGTTTTCAATTGCCTTTTATATTAATAAGACAGGTAGTCTACTGTTTGAATGACATCATATATATATAAAAGATTTATTGAAAAAATGTTTTGCCGCATCTGAATATCTCAAATTTTGGTGCTATGACAAAATCTGCTCTTGAATTCCAATGTTTCTTCTTCCTTAAATCTTGCCACTGTCACAACATATTCTGGCAGTTCTCTTGTCATTGTGTGGCATAACAATGACAGTAGTTCAGAACATGACAATACAGAATTTAAAAACAGCTTTTGTAATTTAATCGATCTTGTTTGGTTTGTGAAGGATCATCTCAATTACACTCAAATACCTTAATGAATGCTTATTCTTTATGTAGAGATAGGCCAAACAATGAAAATCTGAACATGGTTCACAAACTCTGTAGCAATGGTTAGGATTTTTTTTTTTTTCACAAAGTAGGATCTTTACAGAGTGTTGCTATCATTTTGTGTGTTTATGTTCATACCAGAATCAGTCATGCTTTAATATTGCTTTTTTTTTGGGTGAAGGTAGGTTTTCTAATTTTCACATTTAGTCTGCAAAATGGACACTTCTTTGTTATTGATAACTGATTTTTGTAATGTGCACCTTTTTTGTCTTGGTCCTATTCCAAGAAAGCTAGGTAACAAATTCACAAAACAAGAACAAAGATATTCAACCAATCACAACTCTGTGAAAAGCTTTGATGAATTTACTAAGTATGGAGCCAGACTCACTCAGAATGTATGCCATCATCATCATCCTCCTGCTGTGCCATTACATGTCACATTCTTTTTCTTCTTCTTCTTCTGTGTACACCCTTACAAGGGTGGCTGGCATGTAGTTTACAGCTGGGCTGTGATATCTGCAAGTTTCGGCCCAACACATCCAGTTTCAGCAAAGTAAGTGCCCTTTATGATATGCTTGTAAGAGGGGCAGTGGGTCTATTCTTTCCCCTTTCTAAATGGGGCCATGGAACCTGTGTGTGGATTATATGTCATGTAGGGTTAGCAGATTATTCTTCCATTTCATTCTACCTTTTCAATATCATGGATGGAACCCACTCTAGCACTCTTGGCCTCTCTAATTAAAGCCCATCTTGTGGTTTCGTTTGAATGTCCTTGTTTCCTCAACCCATGTGTTTTCTATTAAGATGCCTGTTTGGTTATCCTCTTAACTCCTCAGCATGTACCCAATATATCACCATCTCCTTTGTCTTTAAACTGTTGACACCACTAGCCGTACAAACATTCTCATTTCTACACCTTTCTTTACTTCACGTATTTAATGTCCATCAACATCCTTAGGTATTTGACCAGCATACTAACAAAGCATTACTGTGACCAATACTTGATCAGAGACTGGCAACTTACCTATCAGAAGGCTTGAACACTACATCAGGAAGTCTTATGTTCTTGTCTGCCAGGTACACACTTACAGTCACAGGTAAAATCTCTATGCTTGGAACATGTTCTGTCAGGTATCTTAATATACAAACATAAGCAATAAAATCAGAAATAACCATGGCTGTATCAACAGTATGTTTTGTCTTTGTTGCTCTAAGAAGAGGTAATCTGTATCTACACTGTTATCCAAAGACATTTTGATATCAGGTCGAGATGTTGCACTGACCAGTCTTCAAACCAGCAGTTAATGGCACTGGTTCTGCTTATGCCCGTCCAATGTTCTGGAGATGGGGCTTGTTATTATGATGGAAAAAATTCTTTTTTTTTTAAAGCTACATGACTGATGTAGAAGGATGTAGAAGGATGTAACAATTTGTTCCCTCCATTTATTTAACTGTCAGGAGCGATTAAAAACAGACCAAAGCTCTTATCATCAGAAGCCTTAGATTTTTCTTTCTTTTCCTCTTTTTTTTGCTTCTGCAGTGACAGGTTTGCCTGCAGCAGCGGCCGCAGATCCAGAACAAGCGGAACTACCTACACTGGTGATCAGATCTCTCACAATGAGTCCATCCAATGCCTTGACAAAAAGCCCTTTCCAGTTCGGCTCAACAGAGACCGCAGCTGCCTTGAGGAGGGTGGTAATAATTTCACCATGACTGCTACATGATCATCAGCGAAGATGAGGGCAGCTTATACGCAAACGAGATTGTCAACATCTGCCATTTTTCAAATTTAATTGGAGTTATTGTTGCGGATAATGTGTATGTCGCCAGATTGGCCTCAGCTCAATAGAGAACGCTACACCTTCACAACAGCTGGAAACTAAAAGTCACAATTTGTCTTTAGCAGCTGCATAGTGAGGTGGTTGTGGTATGAGTTAAAAAAAATGTATTTACCCCTTTTGCAGTGTAGACAAGGGAGGGGAGGTCACTGAGCCTGAAGATTTAGGGCCACATGGCTAGAGCTGTTGCCATGGACTATGAAGGTTAAGATCTTATTTTCGGCAAAAAAGAAAAAAAAATCCACAGCCTTACTGCAGATTTGAACCTGAAGCTTCCGCATTCAGTCAGCAGCTCGTTCACAGTATGAGTAACCACACAATATATATATATATATATATATATATATATATATAATATATATATATATATATATATATATATATATATATATATATATATATATATATATATATATATATATATATATATACACACACACATCATGTTTGTAACTGACTCAGAAAGCGTGCTGAGGAAGGTGAGGACAGGTATGCTACGTGCAGACTGGTTGGCTCTGCGTAGCTTAGTGGAATGCTGTTGCATGATAAGGTAAATGTGGTTAAGGCCTTATAGAAGCATGTGTACAATTTGGAGGAGTAAATGGATCATCAGAATGTGGTGAGAATGATGGATACTTGACACTCAGAGGAAAAGCAAGATGGACACATAATCAGACTGCTAATGGTACCATTGCTACTGGAATTCTACTGTCTACTGAAGATGAAGGAGTGCTTATGTGTATGCCCCGAGTGCCGTGATGACAGTTCTTGAATGAACTCAACTATGGTTATGACTTGAGCATGTTTAGTCACTGCTGCTATGAGCTGGGGTTTTTAGAAGAGTCATTATTCTTTAATTAAATCAAGTAATATATTTCTATTCCACTTTCACATAATGCACATTCAAAACATGGTACAAGTGATTAAGTATGGAATATACAGTAAAAGAATATAAATAATAATGTGAGGCTGCAAGCAGTGGCATAGAAATATTAGCATTTAAAGCTAAGAAAATATCAGTTCCAGATAAATAGGATGGAAAAGAGTAACTCAAATTTTGTGTTAAAATAAAGTAAATTACTGCTATGTGCCTAAAAGGTCACAAGTCCTGACAAAATAACTACATGAAGAGTCAGAAACAGCAGGATAGAATCCAGCAAAAGAACACTTCACAAATACATATTCAACACAACTGTGGTGACAGAATATGCTATAATCAAAAATTCTCCTTCCCCTCACATTTAATAATTAACAGAGTTAAGACAGAGAGAGACAACAGGCAGAATAGAAATAGACACCTCGGTATTGACAAAATGTAATCAGTTAAATGTTATGATTTATTACTGAGCTAGAAATATGTACACTCATACCTATCAAATGCTTCAGATGCCAACCTTTCGCTCTCTTCTAAATTGTTCCTCATGGCATCTTTCAAGTTGTCAATATTATCACCTGTTGATTTTTACAAAAATAAACAGTTAAAAAAATCCGCTAAAACTGATATAAAAGATGCAACAGCTGTGCATAAAATACACACAAAAAAGAATAAATCCCTGTCTGGTTTCCCAGAACCCAATGTGGGAAAAACAAGAACGACCCTTTGCCTACCCATAAGCATTTTGTAAGAGTTGACTAATTGGGAGCTTCCTTCAGTTGGTCTGTATCTGCCTAAGAGGCAAGAAACCAACAGTCTGTATCTGCCTAAGTAGCAAGAAACCAACAGTCTGTATCTGCCTAAGTGGCAAGAAACCAACAGTCTGCACACAAATAAGTCAGATCTGTAAAATGGATGCGCACACAACACTCTGGAGCAGGACTAGAGTCCAGAAGTGGACGAACAACCAGAACTTTATGCCAGAGATAACAGCCAGTGAACCTGAAGAAGAAGAAGAATATTTTCATTTTATCAAAAGCCATATAAAGTAAAAGAAATATAGACAAGCCTAAATAATATGAAAGCAAGAAAAATTAAAGCATATTCTGACTGAAAATTTGTTTTTAACCCATTCTGTTAAGACAGGCATTTATTTAACTCCTACTCAAATGTTCAACACCAGATCCAGTGGTTTGGACATGTGTCAAGACTACCACCAGATAGTGTGGAACAGAAAGCACTGTCACTTAGACATAATGGAAGCAGGAGAGGAACAAAGAAGAACAACAACGACAACAACAAAATGAGTTACAGTAAAAACAGGAATAGAACTCGTTACCAGGTACAGCAAACAAATGGATGAGCAGACTTTATATTATTTTTAAAAAAATAGACACGAAATATGGAGTTTCGCCCTTTTGCCCTGAGAAGACGAAAGACCAACACTTTCAGTTGGGTCCTATTCTCATAAATGACATTTTCCCAACTCGTTCTTAGTGACCTATATTAAAGTAAATGCTATTGGCTGATTTTATGCTTGTGCAAACATTTAGGAGGTCAGGATATGAAAACATTAACTAACAATAGCATTTAGGAGGGTTTCGCCTTGAGCTAAATGGCTTTTTTAAAAGCCAAGTTTACGTCAGAATTTTCTTGGAAGCCTCAGTGATAAAGGTCAGGAATCATAGCACAAGTCACCTAATGTAGGTTTTTTAGGCCCCATGAGGTTTTTCATTTAATGCTTCATTCTATTTGTGTTTACCGATTTCTCCTTCATACATATGTATATATTTAAAAATATAATGTGAAAATGCATATACACACACACACACAATATATATATATATATGTGTGTGTGTGTGTATATGCATTTTCACATTATATTATTACATTTTCACATTATTATTTGCAATATATATATATATATATATATATATATATATATATATATATATATATATATATATATATATATATATATATATTTACATATGTAATGAGCGTATTAGTGATGTGTGTAAAAACTGTTGTTTTTACTGATTTTTTTCTAGAGATCTAACAAGATCATGACCTATTATTTTAGTGGTCCCAAGGCGCCTCGGGTTAAAAACAGCAATCACAGTAACATCTTGTTTACATGAATTGCTTAAGAACACACAGTTAACATAAACCTATTTTGATCCCAACAGGAATATTTTATTGTTATTACTTCTGTTAGCAAACATTCTTTAAATAAAATCTAGATTTTACTCCTCTTGATATTTGTGTTACCAAAATTTATTGTAATGTAAAAATTAACCAGAAATACATGGTGAATTTGCCACAGACGCTAACAGAGATCTATCACAAAACAGTTATCAGTACCTGAAACATTATGGCCCTCTGGCAGTGTATTTATTCCCCCATTTAAGAGATTAATCTTTCTTTCACATTCGTCTCGTAACAACTGTGAACATAAAAGATTCAAGGCATTTTATATTAGGACATGATACAATGAGATCCCAACATAACCTGTATACTTTTTGTTCTTTCATCTCATACTATGGGCACAAATTTGATGTATGAATTATGTGATAGGCTGCCCTCCATGGCACCTTGTCGCTCAGATTCACCCTTCGACACATACATTAGCAGCCCACAGTTAATAATGCCAGTCCAATGCTGGTTGACAAGATTTCTCCACCATCCAGGTTGTCTCTCACGCCTGGCTGTGCCACTCTCTACGCCCAATTATCTCACTCTTAATAGTGATATGGTTGCGCTTCTAAAATCCTCAGATCATCATTTCTGCCTAAGGGGGTTAACATGCTGGTGACATCCATATGCTGGCCATCTGCCACTAAGGCAGAGCTGGCCAATCTATCAGCTCTATCATTGCCAACAACATCCGCATCCTGTGGAACAAAGATGAAGGTATCTGCATGCACAGTGGAATATTGCAACGACTCAATCCACTGTCTGCCTACACAGCCTGCCTCACCCTACTGATCATGCTCACAGAATCACTCAGCACACACACATTTATGGGAATAGCATTATGATTCCAGCCACATGAAAACTTGGGACACCACCATCATCTCCACTGTCATGCTGCTAGTGGTCATAGAGAAGGCACTACTGGCTTCCTTGTGTATTCTGCCTGAGAGCAAACTGTCAGTGCCCATGCACTTTTATGCTCTTGTACAACAGACCTGTCTGTGTAGATCAGCACATCTGCCTCATCTGAATTGTCACTGATAAGCATGTGGACCTTTGCACTGACAGCAACAGGATCTGCTCCTGACAACTCCTATCTAGTGTGACAACAAAGGAGAAGGTGCAAGTGAGCACTGGAAGCACAGGTATCCATTTCTTCCTGGAATTATACTCTGCCTTACTGACTTAGAAACTTTTTGCTCTTAATATTATCTTAATATTGTATTCCAGGAAGTAAAATGCTGGCATAATACTTCTTTTTCAGCATTCTGATCCCCTGAGGTTAACTGCTGCAGATATCATCCGCCTCCATTCATCTCTCTGGTTAGCCTTCTCTTTGCAGTTGTAAACACCAAGTATTTGCAATACTGACTAAATGATTCATCAAGTACCAAGAGGTTTATAAAATATAAGGTTAACACAAGATACCTCATAAGTCTAATGATATGTTTATATTTATTCATCAGATCAACAACATGGCACAAGGGTAAACCCATAAGTGCTCTGTTCTACTTCTAACTCAAGCCTAACGCTGAAGTATATCAGCTCAGTGCACCAACTCCGTTGCACTGGCGAGGATCCTGAAATACTTTGTTTAGATTTTTAACTTCAAAATTTGCACAGGCAGAGCCGTTAGGCCACTCTTTTTCAATTTCCAACTGCCAGGATATTTCTTACGTGCGCAGCAATACACCTGGCTGCCCGATCTTACTACCCAGAGACCAGGGAAAGTACTACAAGTCCATGTGAAAAAATCCCAGTCTTTACCGGGGTTTGAACCTGTGACCTCGAGCACTTGAGCCAAATGTACACAAATGCCATAACTCGAGACCACTCAGCCCCTTAAGCTAATGGTTTGAATTAGTCAATTACTTTAAGTACTTCATATACATTCATATTTAACTATCAAGGTAGTGAACTATGTGAGAAACACTTATCTACTCACATCAAAGTATCTCTTGTGTGACATTAAGCTGGATTTCATGTGTTCTGTTGGAGGAATAAAGTAAGATAGACACAAATTTAAAATTAAACTTTTCAATTCAGAGCTATGTGTAGAATGGCTGGCGTCAGCTAATAAGACTCAGATAAGGAGTATATCGCTGATTTTCTCCCTGTAATATTCTGGTGTGCATGGTAATGAAAAGACTGATAGGCTGGCTGATGTCTCTCACTCGGGTGGTGAGCTACATTATGTTAGAGCAGATGTAGTACAGGCCCTCAGATCTCAAGTGGACACTGCAACAGAACAGAGCATGCATACCCTAAAAGATTAATTATATGAGGGGGAAAAGGAAGGGGGGAGGGGGGGTGTTATGTCAAACTGATTCAATAATTTTACAAGATTTGCTTGCTCATTTCTGTATTATTCGTAAATTAAATTGAACTGAATAGGTCTACAAACTCTAAAACATATGCTGAAACCAAAGTTTTCTCAAACTAGGTCTACAATATCCAACTGCTCTGCTTTACCCGTAAGTTCATACTTCCATCTAAAAATGTATTTGCCGGATAGGAGAAAAGCCAAATTCTGAAGAAAAAAAATTAGCTAGGTCTGCGAAAACAGATGTGCACGCAAAAAAAAAAAAAAAAACACATACTGAAACAAATCCAGACTTGGACAAATAACTAGATTTTTCTATCTAAGAAGAAGAAGAAAAACGAAACATATTTTTTGGGAATATTAAACAAATAAAGTTCTTGACAGAAGAATTATAAAAATAACTAGTATACTATCGGTTAAAGTAACAACTCCACAGGAAAAAGAATCAGATGACAATAAAGGGTGTTTAAATGGCATATGTTGGAACGCAACAAACTTTATTTTTAAAGAATCATAAATTAGTAACAAAAGCCTGTCTTACATTCAGCCCTTCCAAACATTCATCTTTCATACACTACACACTTTATTATTACTCTCTTATACCTTTATCTCTCTACAAAATACAAACTCCATGAACAATCTCAGAAAATCTCCCAAAAGTCTGCACTTATGAACCGAAGAACAACATTCAGAGACAAATGGCTTAATTTCCCTGCCAAGTGAAAGTTTCTTCTCTTTGAGATAAAAAAAACAAAACAATGACCAACAAGATACAAAATTTTGCATCACCATCATCATCAAGTGCCTTGCGACTGGCATGAGTGATCATGCCTCTTGACAATCTGCAATCTTCAACAGCATGTATCAGTTCATGTGCTGACATCCTTCCATGCCATAATAAAAGGTTATCAAGAATTTTCTAGCACTGTCTTCCTGTATATTTTTCTCAGATCTTTCCACTGGTCACAGCATGCTTCAGTTTCCTTCTTTTCATAATATGAACAAAAACTGATGACTGACTTTTACTGACATCTTGCATACCGGGCAAAAAAATAAGTATATACAGTAAGAATACTTACTTTTCAAGATCTCTTCAAAAGAAGACAAACACGGACTTGCTTCAGAATCTACAATTACGAAAAGAGTATGTTGAACATTTACTTTAGTTATAAACACCCCCGTGTGGGTTCCGGGGCCCCATTGTGGGGAAAACAAGAATAGACCCACTGCCTCCCCAAAAGCATGTCGTAAGAGTCGACTAATTGGGGAGCTTCCTTTGAAGTCGGAGTGCATCTGCCGGAGAGGCAAGGAACCAACAGTCTGTATTCAAGAGAATGAGATCTGTAAAACTGATGCACACGCAACACTCAGCTTCTGGAGCAGGACTGCAGTTCAGTAGTGGACGAGCAACCAGAACCTTCCACCAGAGTTTACAGCTGGTGAACGCGAAGAAGAAGTTATAAACATCTACTTGTTAATAGAAGCAGACAAAAACATGAAGCAGAAAATGTTCTAGGAAGTAAAGGCAGCTGGTATGATAATGACCATATCCAATGCTCAGTAATAATTCGCATAAAATATGGCGCTGGCATGATTTGCCAGGTATGTCTCAAGGTGTGGAAAAGGTCAGCCTGAAGGTGTAGAAAATGTCAATCTCAAGGTGTAGAAAAGGTCAATCTCAAGGTGTAGAAAAATTCAATCTCAAGGTGTGGAAAAGGCTTTTTGATACCTAACGTGAATTTATTAAAGATCAACAATACTAAAATATACAAATAATTTCCATGAAAAGCATTTACAAAAAAACGAAAACTGAAATTTCTCGGAAATATAACTGATAAAGAAATATATCTTTCTAAAAATAACTGTTAAAAATACATAAAAATAAAAGCTATACAGAGCATAGACTGTACAATTAAAGCATGCTTCTTGTATAAACAATTTTAAAATTTATGATGCATTTATTTCAACTAATCTTTTCTTTTAGAACAGTGAAATGTTATGCAGACCAGATTTATTTTCAAGTGTTCTTAACATATTGTGTTAGCACAAATAGAACTTAATGAATGGCCATAAGCTCTTCTAGCAGTGACTAATCATAAACATTAATACAGCAGTTTCTACCGGCTTTTCACATCCACTTGAGAGATTCATAACATTATATACATAAATTAATTCCCACCCTACACTAACAGTGCCAGACATGGTCACTCACAACAAACCAGACAAATCTTAGAAAGCTAAGCATCTTATCACTATCTGGAATTACAGAGGAGCAAATCCTTCTTAGCTCCCTTATGTGTGAAGATTGTTCATGCTCCGTTTTAGAGCTACAAGTGGACATGTTAGAAACAGATCCATTACAGCAGCACTGCATCTCAGCAAGAGCATGGTGAAAGGTTACTACATTTTTACATATGTCAAAGTTTAAAGTTAAATCTCCAGTAAGGTCATTTCCTGGCCTTGTATTAGTAAATCAAGCCACTTTTGTGGTTGCATAGCTGCTAGACCAGAGTTTCCCAAAGTGGGCACTTTTGGCCCCCTGGAAGACGGGGCACTGGGAGAGTAGGCATTTGAAGTTTGGAAACCACTGGTCTAATCACTCATGGGGTGGTCTGAAGGTCTTGGGTTTTAATCCACACTGAGCCAAATTTAAAATATTGGGGGAAAAAAATGGTCTACCTGGTTGATAAGGCCTAAAATGGATAACCAGATAAAGTACTGGGAAGTAAAGGTGGGACAGATAACTGATAACCCATGGACAGCTGATAGGTCTATACAAATATGAGCTTAGCATCATATGCCTGATGCGTAAAAGACATGGAAAGGGCCCTTTACTTTACTGTAGGTATACGTGAATGTGATTAGACTGAATAACAACAAATGAATTCTATTTGCCTTTGGTATCTTCACTTTGCATCTTGTCAAAGTATGCCTGTTCTGCCTTGTCTCTCTCTGTAAGGATATCCTCTGTGAATAAATAAGCCACATCAAAAGTTAATTCAAGTTCTGACATCCCATCTAACATACTCTTGAAATATTTTTTACACCCACTAAACATTTTTTTATAACAGCATCTCTCATTAATTTTCATGTTAACATTTTTAACACTTTCTCCCTGCTAAATAGTTTTTATGCTAACAATTTTCATTTCAAATAAACATTTTTTAAACAGTCTCCCATGCAAAAAACTTTTTTAAAAGTCTCCCAGCTAATTATTTTTCATATCAAACAAATATTTTTTTAATATACTCCAAAAAATATTTTTTTCAGCTTCTCACAGACAAAAGGTAATGGAAAAAAGTAAACACAGTGATGTAAATATTCAAAAAATGTTTTCCTGTCATTTTGCATTTCAGCTGTATTTATTCAAATGTGCTTCATTTTATATTGACTTAACTATGTAGTAACACACATGACAAGGTACAGCTAAATATGCCTGGCAATAAATTGTGCAATGGCTAGGCTGTTGTGTTGTGGTTTATAGCTAGACTGCGATATCTGCACATTTTGGTCCAATGCTGCTAATGCTAATTACAGTACAGTAACTCACATAGGGAAGATTTAATAAAATTCTAAATGGAAGAAAAAAAAAGGGATCTTACCAACTAACGAATCAAACTGAACATCGTAGTGAAACTGCTGAGTGGTCAGATTGCTGTTACAACAGGGGCATCTGTGATGTCTTTCTACCCATTCAGTAATGCAGCGGTTACAATAGCGATGGCCACAGTGGGTCAAAATTGCACCCCTGATCACAGCCAGGCAGATTGAACACTGAATATGATTCTCTATTGAGGCGTACTAGAAACAAAAGTTTACAACTGGTGTTTATTAAAACAAATTTAGAATAGTCTCAAACAGTGAAAGAGGAGTTATAGATTAGGGAAACAGTTAAAAAAAAAAAATACAAAAGCTAAAACTTATTTGTATTCAAATAAGACCAAAGTTCTGTAAAGACAACTCCTCTTGTTTGCTAAACTTCCTGATTGTATGAGAGTGATTGAGCTGCAAACTCTAACCAAGGTACCACATCAAAATATCATTTGTGCGACATCTTGGGTAGCCCTCTAGATCTACATTCTCCATCATAGGTTCGATGCCAGATTTGGCAATGAGAAGCTGTACTGGAAACCAAATTATGGGTTACAATTCAAGATGTATGGTCAAGATATAAAAAAGGCTTTTATGATGAACCAGTGCTGTTGCATGAACAAATTAAGAAGAACAGGAAGGAAGTGAAGATGTTGTTTTCAAGATACATGCTGCCGATACCATGGACAGCCAGAAAGACCAACAATGACTGTCTAGAAATTGCTAATGAAATTAGAAAACTACATACAAACACAAGAAGAGGCAGTCAGTATTTTTCAGTCATATGATAAGAAGAGAGGCACTGGACAGCACTGTGATAACTTGAAAGATCAACTGTAGAAGAGGCGGACCAAGAGGAATGATGCTTAACCACCTGAAGTGATGGCATAATGGAATAACATGTGTGGAATTAATTCAAAATACCAAGGACCAATATCCGTGGAGAGAATGAGCACCTATGCCGCTGTAGATGGCAAATAACCATGATGACAGAAAAAGTGAACAACTGGCAATAAAAGGTAGCCGCTTGGGTGTGAAAAGCTTGGCCTTCAAACTTTCCCACTGTTAAATGCTTCATTTTCTCTTCACTATAACTAAGATGGTGTTTCAAATGAAAACCTTAAAAGTGAGACAGAAATTAATAATAAAAATGTCATTGTCCTGTAACTGGTCAATATTGTCGTTAAGGATTTCAACAGCACTAAGCATGTGACATCACAGTGCAGATGAACACAGTGACATCATAATGAACAGTCTATCAAAGAAGTCATGCTGTCTGGAAACTTCTAACTTCACTCATATACTTGCAGGACTGACAGACAGGTATGCAGCATCATAAAGGATCTTTATTTGCTGACAAATTTCAATAGGTCTCACTACTTCACTGATTTAAAAAAAAAAAGGATAACAGATTGCTGCTCTTCTTTGGTGCGTGTCACACAACAACTGAAGGAGGGGGAAAGGGGGGGGGGGGGGTGTATATACATCCGCTTGAAACCAAATGTGATATTACTGGTTTGTGGCTATCATTTCTCACTATGCTCCACCTACAGACAAATTCAAGTCTGTATCTTTAGTACAGTTTGAAACTATATAATGTAAATGTTGTGACTTTGGTTTTCCCCATGTTACTGCATGGCTAAAAATTATGCAGGTGTCATGGTGATGCAGTAACTAGATAAATGCCAGTCTCTGAAGGTCTTTTGTTCAAATTCACATCAAGGTGTGATCCAGGTACCCTGGCTAATCAAGTTTAAACTGGCTGGCCAACAATATCATGGGAAGTAAAGGTGTACATTAATTGTGTACTAGTCTATTTAAAAAATTAGTCTAGTCAGGGAATTTTCTTCTAGAAAATATGGAGTCAGTACTAATCTAAAGTGTCTCCCCCCAAAAAATTACAAAATAAAAAAATAAAAATGATTCTAGTACTCACAATAAAAGATCTATTGAAGTAGCAAAAAAAAAAGGTCCTAATATTGTGTACCACCAGAAACAAAACCCTAGTTCTAGTACTACATGTTTGACGCAGCAAAGTATAATGAGGATCCTTTTCTTTACTGGGAGGAAAAAAGGATGCAGCCCTTCTTTTTTAGAATGGGTAAATAATGCATAAAAAAGTATTTTCTTCCATTTTCCAATTACTTCGTGAAACAGTGTTTTAGAACCATAACATGGTACAAAATGGGATATTAGAGAAAATAATAATTTAGTGTACTTTTGCTGACATGACCTATCAAACAGTCTTGTCACACAAGCAGTCTAGAACTTCCAGAACATCTCATTAATGAATTTAAATGGTAGAACTAGATGATACAGTCTAGTTTCAATTGAGGAATTCCAAAGTGAGAACATACAGAGTAAACATGAGCATACTAGAAGAGCATACTAGAACTTATAGAGCATACTAGAACTTATTAGAACAGTTAGTGAGTGGGACAGCAACGTCCCACACATCCGAGAATAAGTGTAAACAGCAGTTATTAATCATTTCAGCAACCTCTAGCAACTGAGACCGAGTCTCTCAATGCCAAGGAAAGAGATTAGTACAATCACAGATAAGGCCCTATGGATGAGATATGAGAAACCTTTAGTTGTTGACCCTCACCTGTTAGGAAGAAACTGCAGTCATTGTGATGCTAGCTCAATACTAGAAAATTTACAAGTAAAACGGACCCTCACAGACAAAATACTAGAGATGATATATGACTGAAACTAGAGACAACAGACAAGTTACATGGATCAATGTTTAACAGAAAAAGCATTAGGTATTAGTCATTAAGAAGAGTCGTTGGGGTTTTACTGAACGTGAATGTACACTGAAAACAGAGCCTTCATGCACAACCTCCAGTATGAGAACATAGGTGGGGCGGTAAAAACAGTTTTGATGGCTTGAGAGCATCACAGCCTGACATGTAATTGTAACAGACTCAGAGAGCATGCTTCGGAAAACTGAAAGTGACGTCCTATGTTGAAGTGGCTTGCATAACTTAATAAGACTAAGATCAGGAGTGTATCATGGATTTTCTGTCCAAAAAATTCGGGTGCACAAGGTATTGAACAGGCTGATAGACAGGCTGTGGCTGCTCCTTTAGGTGGTGATCATTTTCTTCATGATAAAGCAGACGTGGTGTAGTAGGCTCAGAGGAATTAAATGAATGGTAAATGGAACAGACAGAAAATTCATGCATGAAAGACTACTTCAACGGAAAAAGAGGGAGTGGGGTGGGCAGAGATTCTGGAAGACATTCAAAACTGAGTGGGAAATATGGGTGGAGATTTAAATTTGTAATCAGTTTGCAAAACTGGTTCTATTAAGATGATGACTCTTCCTTAGCTTAGGTACAGAAGAAAGAGAAGGAGAACGTATGGCTGTGGAAATGTCCCTAGTGCAGTGATATCAATTCCATTTCAACTTCTATTCCTGTTTACCACTACTATATACATATTATTTGTATTAACTATTCCTGTTTAACACTACTATATACATATTATTTGTATTAACTATTCCTGTTTAACACTACTATATACATATTATTTGTATTAACTATTCCTGTTTACCACTACTATATACATATTATTTGTATTAACTATTCCTGTTTAACACTACTATATACATATTATTTGTATTAACTATTCCTGTTTGCCACTAATATATACATATTATTTGTATTAACTATTCCTGTTTACCACTACTATATACATATTATTTGTATTAACTATTCCTGTTTAACTATTCCTTTTTAACACCTGTACTATATACATATTATTTGTATTAACTATTCCTGTTTACCACTACTATATACATATTATTTGTATTAACTATTCCTGTTTAACACTACTATAGACATATTATTTGTATTAACTATTCTAACTAAATAAATATTGGCTCTCCTCTGAACTTTGTTCTAATATTATGGCAGCCATAAAATATCCTTACGGGGCTCAGTTCTATTAAAAATATGCCGGCTCCGTATAACGAAACAAATGCTCTATCAGGGTCTCAGCGATATGTTACTTGTGGACCTGTTTCTGTGCCTCACTGCCGACCGTATCCCCCGTGCCGCTACGCGGATGGGGGCTAAACTAGATGGCTGGGACTCACAAGCAACAGCTACCGCATCTCCTGCAACTTCCTTCAATTAATTTGCTCGTGAGTCCCAGGCACCTAGTTTAGCCCCCTATCCGTCCGCGCAGCGGCACGGGCGATACGCTCGGTGGTGAGTTTAATTGCGTTTTGCGCATGCCGAAAAGTGTGAGGATGCAGGTCGGCAGGTCTGACATCTACCGCTGCTAAATCCTCAATCGGATAAACAGTATTGCTAATCTGCATGGGAGCGCGTGGTCTAACCGCCATATCACTTTCATCGTCTGTAATGTCTCGAAATTGTCAATAGTCGCTATTATCGTCAGCTAGTATCATCTGCAGAAAAACTGGAAATTGTCAACGGTCGTTTTATCGTTTGCTACTATCGTCTGCAATGTTGTGTCTCTTGAAATTGTCAATTGCCTGAGCGCCGTAAGGATATTTTATGGCCGCCATAATATTTGGACGAAGTTCGGAGGGGAGCCTAAATATTCAGTTTCTAAATAAATCACCTCCTAATTAACTTATAGTTTATTAAGTTACTTACAGGGATCTTGAGCTGTGTTTCTGACATGGTCAATGTTATTTTATAAGGTAAACTCTCAGTGCAGGATATCGGTATATTATAAAAATCTCAAAAACTGAAATGAAACGAACTGTCGTCAAGATTTCCTTATCTTCTTGTTTGCAAACGCAAAAGTCTAAATATTGAGAGTTGAGGTGTAACATAGTCTAGCAGTAAGTTTTTCCGGAAATAAAAATTACGGCTGGAGTCACCTGGCTACTCCACATATTTAAATTTTAAGAAAGCCTGGAATGAAAGAACTGTAGACTGGCAAAGAGCCCTTATAGTCCCAATTTGGAAAATAAAAGGCAATAAGCAAGATTGTAACAATTACAAAGGCATCTCCCTTCTAAGCCACGTAGGAAAAATGTTTGCCAAAATTCTGGAACAACGAATTAGACCCGTTGAAGAACCGATCCTGAGCTCATCACAGGTCGGATTTAGGAAAGGAAGAGGGTGTACTGATGCTATTTTTGCTTTAAGACAAGTTAGCGAAAAGACAATAGAACACAGACATCAAATGAACATCGCTTTCATAGATCAAGAAAAAGCTTTCGATAGAGTAAACAGAAATTTATTATGGAAAGTTCTTGAAAACTATGGTATAAATGGAACAATTTTAGATTGTGTTAGGGCTATTTAAAGACAAAGTGAAAGCGCCATTAAAACAAGAGCTGGCATCACAGACTGGTTCCCAGTAACATCAGGAGTAAGACAAGGTTGTGTATTATCACCTTTACTTTTCATAATATTTATGGACAATATTAATAAAATAGACATAACACCAACAGATGTCGATAAACAGGAGGACTTCAATGAGCTGCTCTTTGCCGACGATCAATGCATTTTTCACAGTGATAGTAAACAGCTGCAAGACCACTTAAACCTACTACACGACAGTTGCCTCAAGCATCATATGAAGATCAATACTGAAAAGACAGAAGTCGTGAGCATAAGTAGAGAGCAACAGACCATCGACATAAAGATTCTAGATCACAGCCTAAAACAAGTGCAAGAATTTAAATACTTGGGAAGTATCTTTACATTCAATGGTAAAATAGACAGAGAGATCGAAGCAAGAATCCAACAAGCCAACAATGTCGCATACCAGCTTGCCCCAATTTTAAAACACCCTGCTGTCCCAGCTGAGATAAAAAGACAAATTATAAATACAATCTTTATACCGACATTAGGTTATCAATGTCAGACTTGGACATTAACAAAATAACACGAGAGAAGACTAACCACCTGTGAAATAAGATGTTTGAGAATGGCTGCGAATAAAACCAGAAGAGATCGAGTGAGAAACGATGTGATTACAAGAACTATTGGAACCATACCCATCGTTAAATTTATTGAGAAGCAAAGAATTAAATGGTTTGGTCACCTAGAGAGAATGGAACCAACGATGCCAGCATCAAGAGCATACAACATGAAAATCGAAACACCAAGAGGCAGGGGAAGACCAAGAAGAATATGGATTGAAAGAGTCACGGACAACTTGAGACTTCATAACATCACGGCATATGAAGCGACTGAGCGCGCCCTGGCTCGGTTGCCGATCATCTGATAGACTGCGACGCCTAGCGGCACAAGCAGATTTTGACAAAAGAAGAAAAATTACGGCTAATTACTACAAAATTGAGGAGCGGCTCACCGAGTGGCTAAATTGATACTCTAGTGAAATAACAGAAAAGAAGCGACAGTCTGCATTCTTTAAACACCACATCAGCACGTTGTGACAAGAGAGAAACAAAAGAGGAGAAAAAAAAACAAGTGAAGACCAATCATAGATGTTCCGCAATATGGCGTATTTGAAACAGCCAAGAAAACACCCCACAGAAAGTTATAAATAGACATGGTGGCCAACGACACACAGGGTTATTGGTAACTATAAATTACAAATGAAACACAGGCAGGACTATAATAAGAATAATCGCTTTCCCGATCTAAACTTGTTTATTAATAGAATCGTGTAGTGAATTATAGAAAATTATCAGTCTTATAGTCCATGCCGAGTGGCGACAGTAGCCATGTCCATCTACAATCTTCTGTCTTAAGTACTTTCAATCAGTTTTAAAATAGATGATCTTCCTTGCCGTGATGTCAAATTGCCCAGCATCCACTGTCTTGGTCTCCCTCTGCCTCTTTTCTCCTCCAGCTTCCTCACCGTCGTGACGTATCCAAGTTTTTTTCTTTCATCACATGACCAAAGAATGTAGACTGTCTCCTTCTGATGTGGGCAATCAGTTCTCATCGTGAGTCAGTTACTTTCCAGATAGACTAATAGTCAGTCTACACAGACACCCCCTCCCCATTTCCCCATTTTTCTTCTTAAACTAAAGTCAGTTAACATGACCACACACAAAAAGCAACCCAAAGGAGGAGGCAGAGCTAGTCAATCCCCTAAGAAAACTCAGTCAGGAAAGAAACAATTAACGTTGAGGCTAGACAGCCTTTATCAACATACAGAAGGCAGACAATAATACAACTATATAATATTCTACCTATTTTACACCAAAAAAAAAAAAAAAAATCTTTTGGGTTGAAATCCACTGGCTGTTAACATTCGCATACCTGTGAATAATAAATTTAAAAAAAAACAGTCGCCACCTCCCCCCCCCCCCCCCCCCCCCACCCCGTGGGACGAATTTGTCGCTATTTTGAAGCCCACCCTGGTTGTTTCTGGGAGCCCTAACGGTTGAACGGGGTTTCTTGAACCTCTCCCCGGGTGATCGCCATCCGAATGGTGGCACTTTGTGTTACCTGGTGTTTATCGCTCAGTGTGATGTCCTGGTGGGGTAGAAAGTCAGTTCACTCAATAATTATTTTAACATGGTTTGAATTGTGAAACAGTCACAAACAAAAGCCACACATCAGAGTATAGATGAATTATTCACATTTATTTGTTACTGGTAAAATGAAATATGAAATTATTAGACTTCTGTATTTTCCAAACACATACTCTATTAAAAACACAGCATTTGCTGGAACATTTTATAGACATAGAAAAAACACTGATGGGAAATGTTTACACTGGTGCTAAGTCTTAGCAGGTCACTCTGCACTTTCCATTCTGAGTTATGCATGCCTTGAAACGATCATAATGACCGTGGAATTGATGTATTTTTGTACACGCCTCCCAACTCCCTCTCCCTCTTCTCTCTCTCTCTCTCTCTCTCTCTTGCTTTCGAGGATGTGGAAATCCCCCTTGTGTTTTCCACCCCTCACACCCCAGGATTTCAGATCGACTTAAGTTAAATAAGTTAAATCAGTATCATGTAATGTTCTTAGAATTCAGGACAATTGTTATGATAATGATGATCTGGTGAATGGTCTTTTAAAAATGTACCGCTGGCACTAAATAACCCATACGATTAATATTGTGGAAAACCGCCTTTTACGTACTGTTTTTGACGTAATTATGATTATAAAGAAGGGTATATTTCTCTCTGCCATGGACATTTTATAGCAGCGTGTTGTTAATTATGTATTATAGTAGTTGTTAATAATGCGTGAGTTGGATCGCCACATGTGCTTTTCTTAGGTTCAATGTTACCTTTTATTAAGAACTATACTAATTTATTACCTCACCTAACAAAATGTCGATGATTCTGTAAAAATTTATTACATGTAGCAATTTTTCTCGCTGAGAAAGTGCTTTTTTTTTTTTTTTTTAATGAACATTTTTTGTGTAATTCTTTCCATTGCAGACGTACTTGTATCTATCCAAGTAGTTATCTACGCCTTTTATTTTCTAGCAATCCATCAACGCCACGCTTTTGTCTGTATCCCTTGTTTCGATTAGCAACAACTGGGGCACCATCTAAAGAAACCTCATGATATTCAGTGCTCTCTTTTTTCTTTCGAGAATGATCTTGACATCTGATAACACTGCCCAAATCGTCCCTTGATGAAGATGAAGAAAAACGCTTGTTCCCGATTGAAGAACAGTGTGTTGGCGGTGTAAATAAAGGAGAATCGCCCTCAGAGTTCATGTGCGTGCGATGCTGCCTGAAAGAGTAGTTGCTTGGAGACTTGCATTCCCTATGGCCAGATCCTTGAGTCATTGGAGAGTTTTGTAATGTATTCCCCGAGATGTCTCTCTGGGGGCTCCTAGCTCTGATTCTTCGCCTGCGATCTTTGCGTGAGTTCAAGAAGTTTTGAACCTCACTGTAGGACGCGCTAACCTCTTGGCCGAACTGTGGCAGTTCTTTCGTTTCAGGTACACTTCTAGAACTGGATCTTTCATTGCTGGGTCCAAACCTGACATTGTGGTTACTTGCTCTTCTAGAGCAATATGACTTCTGCTCTTTAATGCCATCATCCGTGAATCGCTGCTCCTTAAGACCGTCATCAAAGGGTGCTTGCTCGTTAGAAGACACCCTGCGTGTTCTTTTATTATCTGAACTCATATCCATGGTTTCTCCACAAGCAGCAGAATAGCAGCTGTTGTAATTCTCCGAATGGTTATTATCACTTTGCCGATTCTTTTTAGCTCTGAAACAATCTTTTGTAGGTCTGCTAGGTTCTGGTGCGCATTCTTGGGACTTGTTATCATTCCGCGACATATTTCTTGAGAAGTTTAACGATGTTCCATCATCCAGTCTACCCAAGCTCATTTTCTGGCATTCTGTGATGATAAGTAAGAAATCATGAATTTAACATGGTCATTTTTAAATAATTTTCAACGGAACATTTCCTTGATTTAAAACAACAACTGATCACCCCTCTCCCCCCCCCCCCCCACCAGCCACATCCTTTTTTTAACCACCACAACCCCCATCCTCGTTTGTGTGTCTCTACCTAAATGTTTGCCACACAAAGCCCCGATGAGCTGCATCTTAGATAACAGAAACAAACCCAAATAACCAGTTCAACCTACTAAGAAATGTTAATAAGGACACCCTTGAAATGTTTACTTAAATATTTGAAGAAGCTCAACAAAGTTGCAAATTCCACAATTGTGTGCTTATCATAATTAGATTATCTTGACAAGTGAATAAAACATAATTAAATATAACTGAATCTTTGTTCAAAACATAGACATACACACTTGTAACAATCTGCCGTACTTACATTTTCTTTCAGTTTAATTATCAATAACATATTTTTGAAGCTATCAAACAAAAAGACAAGGATTTGTTGTTTACATAAGCAGTTTGTACATCTAACCTTAAAAGCATAATTAATGTGATAGCTCACGCATTTAAATATATATTAAGAACACATTCTGACCAAAGCATATCTCTTTACTTTCCACTCCCCTTGTTGTGGAATCTATTACTCTCTGTTTAAGCACATAGGGAGCCGCGTTAGCGCAGTCGATAAGCGGCTCGCTTTCAAATCCAGCTGCGACTCACTGCAGCCCGCGGTCGGTGTTCGAAACCGGGTGGTTCCAGGGGTTCATCCAGCGAATGGCGACACAGGCGGACAATTCTTATCAACTGTCCGTACTGGTGGCAGAGTACTTATGGTTTAAAACTGTGTGCAATGACGCTGGTTCACATCTCCTGACTTTTTAAACACATTTTGCTATGTTGAAGAGAAATTAGGGGGGTGGGGTGGGGGGGGGTGGAGGGTGGTGGTGGTGGTGGTGGGGTGGGGGGGGGGGGCACTTGTCATAAACTCAAGGGGTGCGTAGGAATCTAGTCGTATATTCGGGCGGACAGGGGGTGGGATTTCTGAAAAACGGTTGAAGACCACTGAGATACACACACATAGAAATTAGATATTGTAGAAACTAAGAAACGTACCTGACGTACAAGGAGCAATACTTTCACATGAATCTGCATGAGGAAATAAGGGAAAACAATTACATAGCTGAAGAATAAAAACAACTGTAAAATTAATCTTAAAGTGTAATAAATGCATTACTACAAAATGAAAAGTCGGGCAATTGATTACTATATACAAATACATTTTCATGCATTTTGCCAGCCCCCAGCTCTCTCTGTCCTAGTAAACTCAAGTGTTACATGTTCTTATGCATGTGAGTATGCTGAATTATTATTTCCGTTGTCACATGTGTGACGCCAAATAGTTTAAATTCAAAGTAATTCTTCTTCTTCTTCTTTCGTTCGCATGAAATAAATTGTCTATATCTGCAAAGCTGTCTCTAGTATGAATTTCACTGTCTTTTGTAATTCACTAAGCGGCCCGTAAAGTTTGACTTCCACAAGTGTCTCTTTTGGCCAAAGGTTTTGCCTGAAAGCGTTGAATCTGGGACAGTCTTGAAGGATGTGATCTGTTGTTTCAGGTGCCAGTCCACTAGTACACATGGCTGATTGGCCAATCTTAAATTTGTTGTACATGTGGGAGCGAAGTCAATTGTGCCCTGTTCTAAGGCGAAGGATAATGACTTTCTCTGGTCTGTCCATAATATGGTAATCATCTTGTGCCAGTTTCGGTGGCATTCTGATTGATTTGATCATTCTCTTCTTTTGTTGATAAGAGACTGGTATGTCAGGTTGTTCTTCAGTTGCACCTTCCTTAGCTAGTTTATCAGCTTTTTCGTTTCCGGGAACTCCACAGTGGGAAGGTATCCACTGCATTACTAATTTACAGCGGTTGCCTAGTTCGGATAATAGTGTCTGTATGCTTGGTAATTTTCCAGACTGGAGTGACTGAAGTACTGCTTTTGCATCTGTCAGGAATACCACTGGTTGTGAAAAATACCCTATATTTAGTAGTTTCTCTACCGCTATCTTGATGGCTTGAACTTCTGCATCATAGTTGTGACAGTGCTTTCCCGTTGGTAATTTGGCTGTATCCCTGGTATTATTAGGATACTCAATGTACACTCCTGCACCTCCGTTTCTGACTGCGCTTTCTGCTGACCCATCTGTGTAAACACGGACCCAAAGGTTCTTCGGGTATTCATCATCAAGTAGACTGAGGGTGGCTGTTTTGCGCTGCACACTGTTTTGTTCTTCCTTGTCAAATTCAAAGTAATTAATGTGTGTGTGTGTGTGTGTGTGTGTGTGTGTGTGTGTGTGTGTGTGTGTGTGTCTTTTGTTATTCTTTAAAGAAAGGAATTATTCATCACAAAATATAATTAAAGAGTGCCTGTAATTACTTCAAAGTGTCTTTAGCAGTAGCGCAGGAAAATAACACGATGCCTTAACGTGGTAAGGTGCACGGGAAAATAGTTTTTAAAAAAAACTCACTCACACAAACACACACTACATTTTGCAATATTTTTTCACGTTTCTGTTGTAAAAAGTCTTGAACGTATCCCCGTGTTAAAAAAATCACTAATGGAAGAATATAAATACACTGCAATGAAAAGAATAGGTATTTTTCTACACACAGACATGTGAACGAGTAACGTTCAACCCCGCCAGGATCGCACACTGAGCAATAATTATCCGGTGACACAAAGTGCTACCACTTTGATGAGACTCATCCGTGCACAAGTTCTAGAAACCACCAACCTAATAGTTTTTTTTTTTTTAATAAACTCTTTTATGGGAAAACAATGTTTACAATATTTGATATACATTTACAAAAACTAAAATAATAATATGATAAACATTATGATGATTGATACCTTCATTCCGCCATCCATTTGAAGGTAACAGAGAAGGAAAGCCAGAAAAGGACAGGGGGCGAAAGGAGGGCCCTTTAATAGTTTTGTTTGTGGTGTCTGTGTCATGACAATTTCAGCTACTGATGGTGATGATGGGGATATTGTCACATCATATATACACTTTATATTTACATAACAGAGTTTAGAAAAACGTGAATGTATCGGTGATCAATAAATGTATTTACATTTTAAACAGCAAACACATTTTGACAAACAGGAAAAGGGAAGACAGAGAAGGACGGGGGCTGGGGGCGTAGACAAAAGAGGGACTTATTTTATCATGTTTGTTGTTGATGATTGGTGATGATGATATCAGTAGGAAAAAAAACTTTTATTGTGTTCCTAACAATTTTTTTTTTCAACTGGGAAGGTATTACCATTTGAATATATACATATACATACATCATATATACATACACATATATAAATACATATCGATATATGTAAACACTCACTCACATATACACATACACGCAAACACACACACACATATATATATACACACACACATACATATATACCCTCATACATTTTAAGCGCACGGCCCTCATCCCACACATTTACGCACATTGTGTGTATGTGTGGAAGTTATTAGGGGTGATCGTGGTGACGGCGTGATCTGGTTAGAAAAACATCTCTTTTCCCTTCTAAAAGGGGACATGTTTCCTTGCGTATATACATACACATGTATTCGGGCACTTGCCGACATTACATACAAAGTCATATTTTAAACATGTAAATACTTGGAAATGTGATAATAATAATGATGGTGATGGCATATCGTCGATGACGATAGGTCATGATGTTGGCAGTGGTCTCCTGCATCCTGACAATCTCAAACAGGGTGTCAGAAAATATGTTTTTAGTTTTATACTTAAACATTAAGATGAACACCTCACTGGAGCATGTTCTAACATGGAACCTGGCAAAATTTCTGCACATCCAAACAAGGTATTTGAACTGAGCTAGGGCCAGTAAAGGTTTAGTATGTGGGTCCTTGTTGGTTTTGGGGATAGTATTTAGAAAGATTGATGTTGTCAAGAGGTTAGTTTGCTTGCCTGCGCGCTTGCTGATTATTTCCCTAAGAAGTCTGTAAGTGGGTTAGACTATCGAGCAGTCATAGAAAAGGTGGCGTTCAGTCTCCTATATATGCTCCCAGCAGAGCTGGCAAATAGCTATCTTCCCAGCAAGATAGGTTGTTGTGGGAGTCATATTGAACAGGAGCCTGTAGGTAATTTCTCGTGCCGTAGATCGTATTTGTTTGTTGTGAAGATTTGTGAATGTGGCCGTGTAGTCGGTAGTATAAAGCGGCTGTTTCCATTTTATCCGCAGGTGGAGTGGAAAGGGGGCGGGGGAGAGGGGGGGGGGGGGGGCGCTAGCCTCTTGATTTTGTTTTTGTATACTTTGTATGTGTGTTAGTGTATTTTAGTTTTCGGGTAGTAAGAACTCCAAAGTAATTTTCACTGCTATTGTCGATCTTCTTCAAGTAATGCATCTTTATAGTGCTATGTAATATAAAGCTAGGCGATTCGCTTTGGAGTGTTTTATAATTTCGATTATTCTTAACGCTTTAATCGGTTTTTATATCTCTAAGGTAAATCCTACGATTTTATTTTCTTGAATCAGGGAATGGCGTTTAATGGTAAGACGGATAATGAATTTCCTGATATGTTTGTTCATCTCTTTGATGAATTTTTGAGGGGGATCCATTACTGTGGACAAAAAGATGATTTTCAACACAGAAAAGGTGTTTACTATGGTAGCTCTTCCGTTAGGGAGACTGACTGACTGACTTTCTACCCCACCAGGACATCACACAAGCGATAAACACCCGATTACACAAAGTGCCACCATGCGGATGAGGATCGCCGTGGAGAGGTCCCAGGAACCGCGTTCAGACATTTGGCCATATTTATGGCCTGCCTATATTGCGGCCCCTGGCAAAAGCCAGAGTAGGGCTTCAAATGACAAAAAATTTCGTCCTGAAAAGGACGAAACTAGATATGATTAGACTGACAAAGAAAACAATGGACTGAAGAAAAACGGATTGCGAAACAGGCTGGTTCTGTTTAGGCTCTATTTTGAGGAAAACAATAATAGACCTAAAGCTTCCTTAACAAGAAAGTTATAACAAGCGACTAAACAGCGGTTTCCTGAAATCGGGTAGGTTGGACCGAAAGCCGCATATATGGCACTAATTGTGAACATAACTTTACTGGAGTTACCGAGTGCTGGTCCCCTTTGGTGCAATGTCTTTAGCAGACCGCTGAAGACATTGCACCAAAGGGGACCAGCACTCGGTAACTCCAGACTCTCTTAAGCCACCCCCCCCCCCCCAGTCACATGAACATTAACAATGCCTCTAGTTTTATTTCAGGACACTGGATCTCAACCCACGAGAAGTTCCAGCGACGAGAAGCCACATCCCTCAATCTATCTGTCACTCTCATTCTCCCGACCTCACTATCACATCTACTGGCACATTCGGGCAAACTGACCTCTCATTTGCAGTCTATCTTACCTCCACTACTTCTCCACACTCCGTGGAAAAAAAAAAAAAAAAATTTTTTTTTTTTTTTGGGCCGATCACAACAACAGATTGTGACGGCCCTGTTTGTCCTGAAAAGGAACATTGTTCGTATCGACGGCGCAACGGATGTTTGTTTGGCTTTTTCCGGCGGCTTTTAGATCGGCAACCAAGCAGCAACAGGGCACCAGCACAGCGACCAGCACGAGGCAAACCAAGCACCAGCAACAGTCAGCTAGTACCCTTCAAAATCACCGCAAAGAGATCTGGAACACACCAGAACCCAAAACCGCAAACAACGCAGCACAGCAAGGAAGCAAACAACAATAATATCAGGTGTGACTACACACCACAAATAAAAGGAAACCGTATAAGACAGCAAAGGACCCTTCTTCGATATAGCAGGCCCTCGGGCGGCTGAAAGAGGATCAAATTTGGAATTTTTCTTGGACAACTGGCAATGGCACATAACTTTAAGGGTCAACAAAGATGAAGAAGACAAGGGATTCCGGACATACCATCTGGAGATTAAATTTAACTGGTTATCCCCCTTTGTATATAGAACGGTTTAGTAGTGATGACACTTGTTTATCTGCCAAGGATAATTTGGATATTTATTTTGAAAATTTGCTGTCCATATGAAATTATCTCGTAAATACAGGCATTCTTTCATCACCATAAAATACGCATGGGGCGTGGAGAGGTATAATTTACTATCCAGTACACGCTGGCTGGCACTAGCTATTATCATGCCGTGAAGGTGTAAAGTACCTTTATGTTATCAGTCCATTTTCTTCGTGGCCGTCCTCTTGATCTTGTAGCCAATATTCTGAGATGTAGTGCATGTGATGGTATCTTATGCTGCTGCATTCTAATGAGATTGTCAAACCATTTAAGCTGCTTTTTCTCAAAAACATATGTGCAAGATGTCGTTCACACGGTCTGTCTCACACTCATTATTCACTCCATCTCGGATGGTTAGATCCGTCATTATCATCTTCTTTTGTGTGCCGTTAAACGTCCTAAAGTATGATCGGCATTCTCTAACTGGTGAACAACTGGTGAAAAGTTGTCTTGGCACAGCCAAAATTAATTCCATCAAGCTAGGAACCTGGCAGTGAAAGCAGAATCGGTTCTCTGCCACTTTCGTTTGTTTCATCACATACAGTAATACAATTCAGTTACAGACGCTTACTGCGTCTGGAGTACTTACCTTTGGTGAACCTATCGCCCTCAGCTCTGAACCTGCCAGACATTCTACGAGCCACTTCAACTGTAAACAAGTGGGATTGTATCAAAAGCTATACGTGGATACGATTTCTTGTTCAGTGTTTACTCTACTGGTGTTTATTTGGCGGAGATTCTATGCAATAGTAAGGCAGAAGAAAGGGCAAATACCCCGCTAATGTCACGGGGTAGGTGGGTGGAGGAGGCAACTAAAGTGGGAACTCATTGGCTCATGTAAATAACATTTAACAGGATAATACGTAGCACCCAATTGAGGCTAGATAAACCTGGGAACCACTATTATTTGTTTATAAAAATCTGCCTTGAAATCGAAACAGGTTTAAATTCCCAGGACTGACACACAAGAGTACAGCCACTGTGTTACAACGACTATAATTTGGATGATAAACAGTGGTAAACTGAACTCTTTCAATCCCCACGCGTTCTTGCAACAAATGCCCAAGGAAATTAATTACCGCTATGGTAGGTAGCTAGGTAAGTTGTACCCCACCAGGACATCTCACAAGCGATAAACACCCGGTGACACAAAATGCCACCATGCGGATGAGGATCACCCGTGGAGTGGTCCCGGAAACTTTTCAGCTGTAAGGCTAAATTTATGGCCTGACTATATTTAAGGCCCCCGACAAAAGCCAGGGTGGGGCTTCAAAATAACTAAAAATTGCATCCCACTTGGGGACAACGCTTAGACCACTATGAAAAGTCACGAATGCATAACTTTAGAAGAGCTAACTCTGATAACGCCGCGGAAGTAGCCAATATGGAAACATTAATTCGCAATGGGGGAAATAGAGAAAGAAAAAGACATCAATATCAGCCGTTCTGTTTGATCAGTAGGAGGAATATATTGATGAAACTTGACATAAATGGAACGAAAACTCAAAATTTTTTTCGTGATTCTGAAGATCGTCTGAGAAAGTGGGCCTTGACACCTTACAACAGTATAGCACGCCCGGCTCACTAGCGTAGTTGGCTAAACCGGACTGCGTGGTGACGGGTGACGAACTCCTTGTGGTACAGGTTCACGCCCGAGGGTAGGCAGAAAAGCCACATTTCTCCCAGATTGACGGTATTTATCATTGAATCAAGGCAGAAGGGTTGCGATATCCATAATACCGAGCCTAAGGGTTAACAACTCAAAGCTTCTGGATACTAAAAAAAAAAAAAAAAAAACACACAACAACAGTATAGCACATTATAATGATAACGAGAAGCTGCTAATTTTTAGCAATTTGTAAATCTCATCATCGTTACCAAGTGTTTTGCCGACTGTGGTGGACAATGGTGCCTCTCGGTATTCTGCGGTCTTCAAAAGCATGTGTGAGTTCGTGTGCAGCCATCCCTCCATGCCATTTAAAAAGGCTGCCAAGAATAAAATCGCGTTGTCCTCCTATGTCTCTTTTTCCACAGATCTCCCGGTGGCCACAACTTGTTCTAGTTTCCTTCGTCCCATACTATGACCAAAACGTGATCATTGTCTTTATTTTAAATGTTTATGATGTCATCGAGCTCTCAGTCTCTTTCGAAACATCTGAGTTGATCTTTTTGACTGTCCAAGAAATTTTAAAAATTCTTTTGTGAAACCACATATCCCACACGTCAAGAAATTGTTTGGCTTTACTATTTGTCCAGGAATCACAGCCAAATATTAAAACTGGTTCTCTTTAGCACGGAAGACTTTTTTTTCTATCCTCCGATGACATGGATTTATTGCATAAAATGTTTTTTTTTTTTTTTTTTTTGAAATATTTTTTTAATTGTAAAATGCAGTAATAGCCTGTCTTATTCGGTTCCTTGTCTCATCTTTCTTCGGATGTTATCCATGTGCCAGGATATATAAACCTAATTCATGTCCCATATAACGCTTTTGACTTGTATTCAGACACTATTTTTTCTTTTATATAACCATTGCTTCTGTCTTCCCATAATTCAAGCTACCACTGCTGTATGTTTCAGTCTATGTAATTCTTTCTGACTTGTTGCTATAAAGAGATTGTCATCAACATGACGTACGTAGCTTACATCATGGCCACCAATCACAACTAGCATATTATATCGCATTATATGTTTACTGCAGAATGAGAACAAATCAGGTGTTAATACATGTCTTTGTCGCAGTGACGTACGAATGAAAAAAAAAAATACATAAAGGAAAAAGCAACTGCTAGAAATGCAGAAACGTTTCATAGTAATAAATAAGCGTCTTTTTTTTTTTTCAAATAAATTCAAAAAGGTGTCATAATTTTAAATACACACTAATAATTTTAGTACCACTGTTTCGATTCTGGCTAAAAATGGCTACTCACTGGTGAAGGCAAACTATAGATTACTTATCTGGTGACTTTTATAATAGAAGTATGAACCGACGTGTGAAGTGACACATTTATTTTCAGTTTGATTATCTGAAAGTAATTTAACCTAGTGCCCTCTGAAACCTGGGTGCAACATTTTAAGCATTAAGTGCGCAAGATTACTGAAGAATAGGGGAACATTTTACCGTATACAAATATACCTAAAAAAAAAAAAAAACAGTGTGTGTGAAGACAAGAAGAAAGAGAACCTCCTCACATTACACACCCGGCAAGACCGTGGGGCTGGGCCATATTTGTAGGCTTGTCTGCACTCACTGGGCAGTGTGATCGATATTGTACCGACCGCCTTTACTTCCCATCATATAAAGGCTGAGACAACCTGGAAGCACATTCCATGCCTTTAAAACAATACTACGCAGTGCCGTATAGGCCTAGCCCTATATGCCCAGTACGCTTGGAGGCGTGGAAAGGACCCTTTACTTTATTGTTATTCAGTGCGGATTCAACCCCGTATGTACAATATCAAAATGTCTATAAAACATTAAAGCTAGACTGGGATCCGATCTAAAAATAAAAATACAGAATAGCTGAAAAAAATTGTAATACGACTCTTCTGGATGGCAGCTT